AGTTTAGGAATATTATATATCTTGTTCCAAAAAAGTTAACTTCAAAAAACAACTTTTAAAAGTGGAGAAAATTGAAGTTAATATGTTTCTGTTTAAGAAAATTGGTGGAAAATTGTTGTAAAAAAGTGAAAAGAACTATAATGAATTAGATGATAGGTGGAAAATTGTTGTGAAAAACTAAAACACTAGAATATTTTCCAACCGCATTCTTCTTCTTTAAACGGTTGAAACATCCAGATGTTCATAAATACATTTGGCGTTTCAAATTCATAACAAAAATAATATTAGGTGCCTTACTTGAATACATTGTCAACACTGATAAATACATTTGAGTTTAAAAAGTATATTATCATCCACCCATCAAAACCTTAGAATTGACAGGAAGAATCTACTATATAATCACAATCTGAAATGAAATTTACAGTAAAAACAAAAAGCGACTACAACCTTGGATTTTGGTGGTAGAGCCTAAGCTTTTTTGGCCGGAAGAGATTCCTTGAACCATATGTTGAGTGATAAACATCCATTTGAACTTCATATTGCAGTCTCACATATAAAATGATTGGCATGAAAATAAAACTGCTGATAAAAAGTGGTACCCAAATCAACTCTCCCTGCCAAAAGGAGAAGAAAGCAACAAGAAAAGCCACCGCCATGTTTGCGACTGAGAAGAAAAGTGCTGACAGACCTCTCATCAATTTTTTGGGCAATGATTCCAAGAAGTTATGTTCAGTATAGCGAGATATGAAAATGGATAAGAATATGAGGATCGAATAGGCAGCGAATACCACAGAGATGGCATTTAATATGTTGAAGAATATGAATGGTCGATTGTGAAGAAAGATAGGCATACCAGTGTTCTGGTTGTATCCACCTGGAACTGCAAAAGCTGCTGAGCATCCTGTGGAAGCTATGAGCGCAGCAATCAGCAAGCACTGGTTAGCCGTGTCTTTCATCCATTTCTCATTCGCTAAGAGTAGATAGTCGTGTTCACTCTTGAACAATTCTTTTGGTGTTCGATCATTTTTGTTCTTCATTTTCCGATAAGAAGGAGGGATCATATCTTTTACTTCCTGCACAAATTAATGTTTTAGAGGACGCCACATGAAACATAAGATTTGGCATCATACATTTTGAGCATGTCACATTCATGAAACAACTAGGCAGAGAAGTATCGAACAAGTACTACATATAAGTGGTAAGCCACCTTTGAGATTTTGTATTCAATAATTATAGTTACTCTGGGATAAAATAGTTGAGATCCACACTCTACCTGTTTATACAGACGATGCAGAGAACAAGAAGACTTGTTAACCTCCCGTTAGTTAAATGTTTCTAGATATCTCCAAGGTATTAATATAAAAACAGAAAAACGACAAGTAAATTTCTTTCTTTCTATACATATATACTTATAATAACTAGTTTTCACTTATATAACACTACCACTCATCGAGAAAGGAACCGGTAATGTTGGCAAAAAGAAGTACCTTGAACCATAACACTTCACGTTGCATATGTTGCATTTGTAGACGGACTCCTGAATTATCTTCACGTTCATGTCCGTTTGCCACCATCCCAACAAGATGCAACATATTATTTCCATTCTTGTCCACGACAGATGTTATCATTTCCTTCATTGAGCCTATCTCATGCAGAAGATTATAGATACTCACATGACGATGTAAGACAGCAACATGAAATATAGTTTGGTTATCGTCATTTCTCTTCCATAATAAATCTGGATATTGGCGAATGAACTCTACTACAAATTCGGTGTTTCCCATTTCGGCAGCAATAAATAGTGGTTGCAGTGAGTGCGTTGGAAGTCCCCGCTCATTTGTTACGTTTCCCATAAGGTCGTCAGCTTTAGCCTTTGGCAATTTCATAATATTTCCGCAGATGATTCTAAGTAATTGCATGGCATCAGTCGGTTTTTCTGCAGGTCCAACCTTCATCCAAATGACAGCACAAACTGAAACCCAACAAATCTTAATTATGAACTACTTATTTATTCATATATGAATAACAAATAAACTCTAACAAAATTTTGATAAATGTTTTATTTACATATGAATATATAACATATGAGGAGAGCTGATACACGTTTTATTCATATATAAATACAATATAAATATAACATGTGATTATTCATATATAAATGATACTTAAACGGTTTATTAATAAGTGAATAACGAATATATTTTAATAAAAATATGATACACTTTTATTCACATGTGACTAAAAATAGGGTAAACTAGACCAATAGTCTCTCGTGCACATGCCAAAAAACATGTTTATTTTCTATTTTCAAAAATTAACTTGAACCGTCTCTCGTTTGTTTAAAACTTGCATGTTTTGTTCCTATTGACATGAAATGACTATTTTTCCCTTAGTAATTTTTTTTTCATTTTCTTTTATTTATTTATTAGTTTTAAATTAAAAGAAAAAACAAATATCCCCATCCTTCCCCTTCCATTTCTGCATTTCTCCTGTAACAAGATTCTCCGCAGATTAGTAGATTACCCCCCCCCCCACACCACTCCTTAAACAGATTCCTTCCACCACTGTCCATCAACCACCTCCGACCACCAGCCACCTCTGGTCACTCCTTATATCATGCCATCTCTCACTCTCTATTCCAGAAACCTCAAAATCAAACCATAAATCTAAAACCCAAAACCTTCAAATCAAACCACATCAAATCAGAAAATCCAAAACTCAAATCTGAAAACCCACTTGCAAAAATCGAGTGTCAGTGATTTGTAAATGGAGTAGATCTATGAGCGAGGGTAAGACATAGTGGGCTAGGGAAACCACAGGTCACCGGAGAAGAAGATCAAGAACCCACAAAGTCACCATCTCCAGCGACTTGAAGCTTAGGGACGTCAAGCATTCAACAATGGTGGCTGAGTGTTGGATACTGAGGATGGGAAATCAAATGATTTCGAATCTCAAGCACAATCTCCTCTTGGAATTATCATCGAAACAGCCAAGAACAAGAAAGAAACTTGCAACAAAACTCCACAAACAATTGGAATCCTTTCTTTCATCGTCGGCATCGTTTTCAGGCTTGGAAAAAAGAAGGAGATCTGATATTGTGGTGCTCCGGTGAGGTATCCATCTTCAGCGACCAGGACCAGTGGTCTAGTGGTCTGTTTGTGTGACAACCCGAAATTTTTTTAATTTTTGCCTTGTAAAGCTCAGCCAGTCAACTCCGCTGAGTGTCAAACTCATTTTTGCTATCATTTAGCCTCGTTTAGAGTCCGTTTAAAGGTTCAAAGCTCAGTACATTCAAGCATTGAGCATGAGAATGGATCACGTAAACTTCTAGCACCAAAATCGAGCCTTACACTCCAACATGAGGAGTGTACGGCCGTACACTAGGGTGTGCGGCCGCACACCCCTCTCCTGGCAGCACACTCACGTGTACAAAGGGTAGACTTAGCCTTCTTTCATCCATTTTCACCCTACCAAGCCTAGAACTCGATTTCTCTCTCAACTAGCATCAGATTTTCAGCCTAGATCTTCAATATTGTAAGTGTTCTTCCTTTGGTTTGTTATTAATCTTCTTAAACTAGTTACATCCTTTGATTTCATCCATTTGAAATCATGTTTTGGCTAGATCTTCAAATCTTCATCCATTTCACCAAGAACACACACTTGTTCTTGGCGATTTTGGACCTTCTCGAGCCTCCGGATCGTAAGTACCCTTTCCCTATGCTTGAATCTTGTTTAGAACACTAGATTAAGTCCTTAGAAATGCCCATAACTCATAATCGTATGGTGTGTGCGGCCGCACACCCAGGTGTGGCCGTACACCCCTCAAAACACCCTCAAATGGCCTCCAAAATGCATTTCCAGCTTCAACACTTGATGAGCATTGGTCCTACAAGCCTCCCTACCCTTGGAAAACGATTTTGTGCACTCTTGACCATGAGTGTGCGGCCGCACACTCCCTGGCCGGACACCCATGGCCGCACACTCCTTGTTATGGCCGTACACTCCCTATAAGTGAATCACATGTGATTCCGACACTTGGTCAAAGTGTTTCCTAGTCCCGTAAGGTGTTTTCTTGCATTTACTATATTTATGTAAATATGTGCCATTATATGTCATTTAGGACTCGTTAAGTCTCGGGACTTCATTCGTGGAACTTCTCATCCTTACGCGCA